CCTGCAGCCATGGTGGGGCCCCAGCCCCAGAAGCAGGAGGAGAGTGGGGACCAGATGACACCAAGCAACTGAGTACAGCCCGCCCCAGCCCCACAGCAGCCCCTCAGGAGTCACACCGACCCAGGACCTTGAGGACTGACAGCCCAGCCCAGCCCTGTCCTGCACCGTCCTGGCTTGAGCTGATGACAGATGGAAAGGGAAACTGAGGCCCATCTGAGGATTCCTGGCAGGGCTGAGGTGGGGGCAGGAACCCCTTGAGGGTACTCCTGGCACTACTAGCCTCAGGGAAGGGGCCCTGCAGGAGCAGTCGAGGGCCATGCCTGTCCCTAGAGCTGCATTTCAGGAGCCCCATGGGAGGCCCAGAGGATAGGAGATGGCTGTCATTCTTCTGCCAGGCTCGCTCAGGAATCCGTAGGCCCCGAACAGGAGACCCTGAGACCCAAGGACACCCCAACCCCTGAGAGGGTGGCCAAAGCTCACCCTGGACTCCACCAGGAAATGCAATACCTGGGCTAAAACAACCAGCTCAGCCATGGAAGAGCACTGAGTCCTCACTCTGTGTGAGGCACCGTGCTGGCCCCCATGGGGGTGGGAGAAGTCAGGGACAATAGGGGTGGAGGGAAAAGTAGGGGGACGGGCAGAAAGCACTAAAGGAGCTACCGTCCTCGGAGTCCCAGGTCCTCTCTTCACAAGCCACATGGGCTTCTCAGGAACCTCAGTCTCCATACCTGGAAAATGGAACCACCACCACTTGGTTCGGTGGGGTCGGAACCAAGCGGTGCTGTTCTCATTGTTCAGGTGTGGAGTGCCATGGGATAAAGGGAAGCACATGAGGTGCACAGTGGAGGCTACGCCCAATCAGTGTTCCCTGTCTTCTTCCCCACCCCTGGAAACCTATGGTTGTGGAGGGGGTGCCAATCTGAGGGGTTGGGGTGACAGCAGGCATCACGGCAGAGGCAGCATTTGAGGGGGGCCTAAAACCTAATGTGGAGGTTGAGTAGAAAGTGTTCAAGAGAAGAAACCCAGGCAAGAACAAAGACAGGGACAAGGGATGCAGAGACTGTGTGTGTGTGTGTGTGTGTGTGTGTGTGTGTGTGTGTGTGTGTCTATATCTGCATGCATGTGTGTGTGTATACAGCCATGCATGAGCATGTGTGCATGTCTGTGTGTGTTTGTGTGTGAATGCATGTGTGGGTGTGTGAGTGTGCATGAACATGTGTGTATGTATGAGTGTCTCTGTGTGTGTGAATGTATGTATGGGGGTGTGTGTGCATGTGTGTGTCTGTGTGTGCAATGTGTGTGTACATGTACGTGCATGTGTATCAGTGTGTGTTGGAGTGGATCATGTGACTATGAGTGTGTGTGGCCAAGTGACTGCTCTGGCTCCCTCCAGGGCACTGTGAGGAAGGGTGAGGAATAAGCGCCAGGATGCCTGGATAGCCGGGCACTGGCCTGCCCTCCCTAGACTCCAGGGCATCCTGAAATCTGGCAGGGATGGCAAGCAGGAGGGACCCCCAAAGGCCATCTGAATCCCCAGGCTCTGTGGCGGCCAGGGTTGGGCCTGCCCAGACCACAAGGCCTGGGATTAGGAGATTAAATCCAGGGTGAGGAGGCTTTAGAGAAGCAGCAGCCCCTCCTACTCAGATTCCAGCAACCCCAGCCTCTGAGTCCCACATCCAAGTCCCACATCCACACATCCGGATCAATCTCTACACTTCGCTAGGCCTATAGGAGGCCGAAGCTGGCAGGATGGGCTGGTGAGGAGCAGGAGAGGTCAGGAGGCTCAGCCTCCACTGACTGCTGACCTTGACTGTGCTCTCTGCCCCACAGCACAACTGGAGCACATGGGCCAAGCCAAGCCGGCTGTTCCCTGGGTTCTCCAGGCCCTGGGGGTGGGGGCACTGGGGTGGCGAGAGGCCAGCCAGGCTGAGGGTGGGGATCCCAGTGGGGTTCAGGAGCTAAAGAGCAAGCTGGCTTCGTCAGGTGGGGCCACTGTCCCCCTGTCTCTGCTCAGGTGCCATGCCAAAGGACTGGGATGCAAAGCTCTGGGATCCCAAACCCTCCTGTGGCAGGGATGGGCCTGTGGCCGGAGGCCACCACCTAAGGGGCAGAACCCAGCAAGGACACAGGCCCCACACTGCCTGGCTGTGTCCCTGGGTACCCTGGCCACCCACGGACAGGTTTGGGGCAGGGTGTAGCCCAGCCCCTCAGGGTTCTCAGAGATGCTCCTGGGCATGGAGTGGGTGATGGGCAGCGGGAGGTGACACCTTGAGCCCCTTTGGCCACCCATATTGGGGGTGGTGAGCCACATCTTTTGGGCCTAAGAACGCTGAAAGTGGCAATGTCCTAGAGAGGTCCCTGGACTCTGCAGGCAGATGACCACACGCTCATCCTACCAATCACAGCCACCCGGGGACCCAGGCCCCACCACTCTCCACCCGTGGTGGCAGCTCAGGCCCCTCCCAGCTCACTGATAAGAGGTGCACGGATGGTCTCAGGCCTGACAGGATTGGCCAGCTGGGCATGTGCAGGGCTCAGTCAATCCTAATAGCCTAATGCTGGTAGCCCCTCCATAGACCCCAATCCAGTAGGACCAGGGCTCTGTGGGAACGTCTCCCCTCCCGCCCCCGTCAAGCCAGCTCACCGGCTTTGGCTGACCCGGCTGAGTGGCCTGAAGAGATGCCCTCAGTCTCCTCCAGCGCCTCCTCCTGAGGCTACGTAGCCCACGTCTCCCCTTCCACCCTCCACAAATCCCACGGGAGGACTGCCCTACCTTACTCCCAAAGGACATGGTGGGCCCAAGGTCAGCAGTCATGACATCAGTGAGGACTGTAGGGCACAGGCTGGGCGGCCGGGCAGTGGCCGCAGTTTAAATCCTAGTCCAGCCAAGCATCAGCCCTGGGCTTTGGGCAGAACTCCAGACTCCACCTGTTTGTGACTGGCCAGCCAGAGCCCCAGACGGGGCAGTCTGTGGGACATTCCAGTGGGGAAGGGGGAAAGGAGGCACCCAGGGGGGCAGCACCTGGCTGGGAGCAGGGCTGGCACACAGCAGACATCTTGCAGGCCCTCACCACAGGGACCTCCCTGGGTCTGGGCTGGGACTTGCCTTGACACCTGATTCCAGCCTCTGTCCACCCTGTGGACCTGCCCGGGGAGGATACCTGCAGGGCCTCAGATCCATCTGCAGCCAGAGTGAAGCTGTTCATCTGGGCCCTGCCTTGGACCCAGTGCCCTCCCGAGACTTCACCCCAGGTAAAGGCTGCCCTCCCCCGACCCCACGCTGGGCCCCTCAGCCAGCTGCCTTACAGCATCTCTGGTCCAGAGGGTTCCTGGGTCTTGATTCCAACTACCCCATCAACCAAACAAGGAACCCCTCTAAATAGACGGTGTGTGTTCAATGCAAGGGCAGACCTGAGCCCTGGCCCTGGCCCATCTCACACCCTGCACTGCAAGCTCCACACCTGCCCCACTCCTGACTGCCCCACTCCACAGCCTGGCTAAGGCTGGTGGCCAACCACACCTGCAAAATGGCCGCCGCAGGTGCAGCCCCAACCCCCACGTGGACCCCAGAGCTTCCCTTCAAACCCTCTGCTGCCTTCTCAGACCACAAGGGTGCTGGCATGGCTTCCCTGGCAAAGGCCCCGCCAGCCTGAGTGCGACAGGGTGTCCCGCAGAGCCGAGCACGGTGTCGCGCTGTGCGTCCCCAGGGTGAGGCCAGTACCAGCCCTGCGCGGCAGGGGCCTCTCCCAACCGCCTCCTCTCCGCAGCCGCAAGATCCAATCCGCTTGCCCTGGCAGGCCTTTAATCCCAGCAATGCAGGCACCCCTTGGAAAGGGCCGCTGCTTGGGGAGGGGGTCCTCCAGTCTCTGGAGGAAAGTCCCCATTCCCGGGGACGTGGGCGCGCATCGGGTCCGCGCCGGGCGACGTCGCGCTCGCGCCCAGCAGGCCCCATGACTTGGCATTCCCTCCTTCCCCTCCCCCTCCCGCCCCTGCGGCCGGCAGTGCCCCCCCAACCCCACCTACCCGCGCCCAGCGCCCCGCTCCTGCGGACCCTCCCTCCCGGCGGGGATGCTGCCCGGCCCTTCCCAGCGAGAGGGCTGGGCCGCTGGTTTGCGGGGAGTCGGTGTGAGGGGCAGCTTAAAGCGGGAGTGCGAAGGTCTTCGCGGCCACTATTCCTTCGTGTCATCCGAGCCCGGGCGCCGGGGACGCGCCACCATCCTAGACCCGGCGGCCCCGCAGCCCCTCCCTCGCCGCCGGGCCACACCTGTTACAGGGGCGCTGGCGGCTGAGACGCAGGCAGTGCTCGCCGGCAGCCCCTCCCAAGTGCTGGGTCTTTCTGGAAGGGAGCTGGGGTCTCTGGCGTGGGAGGGGGTGATGGGCAGCCCGGCGGTGCAAGGACGCGGGTGGCCAGGCCCCAGCGCCGCAGACCCCGCCCCGCCTGCCTGTTTTGCTCCAGGCTCCAGCATCCGCCCTCCCCCACCCCGGGGACCCGACAGCTGCCCGCGCCCGGCAGCCCTGCGCGCTCTCCCCTCAGGCCGAAGCGCTGCAGCCGCGCACCCTCCCAGGTGCGGCATCCGCGTCCTCAGCCCCGCTCTCCATCCCTCCCCTCCCCCGCCGTCTGGGCGCAGCCCCTCCCGCAGCCCCGCAGGTGGCTCCTCTCCAGGAGAGCGGAATAGCCGGGGAAAGGCGGGGGTATCCCGATCCCGCCGGCCGGGCGAGCCCTCCAGAGGGCGACCCCCGCCCGCTGCAGCTGAGATCGCGACAAAGGGACCTTCTCCAGCGGCACCTGAAGGGCGGACACCCCTGAATTTCCCCCATTGTTCTCTGCGGAGATGGAGGAAGGGCTGGAAGGGAAGGGGCCTCACAGTGCCCGCGCTTCGGGTCGCAACAAGGGCGCAGGGCCGGAGCTCCCCGCCCTGGGCGCAGTGGGTGCAGGTGCGGGCTGCGGGGCGCAGATGCGGGGCGAGGGGCGCGGGAGGCCGGGCGGGCGCCTGCCTTACCTCTCCGGCGTCACTGGCGGCGGCCCCGCATGGGCACTGGCATGGGCGCGGGCTCCCGAGCCCGGAGCTGCTGCCGCTCGCCGGCTGCTCTGAGCTGTGACGGCGCCGCCGCGTGACGGGCTGCGCGCCCCCGGCCCGGCCCGCCCAGCGCCCCTCCCGAGGCGCTGGTTGGCTGCGCGCGGCGTCCGAGCTCCAGTCGCCAGCTGGTTTGTCGCGCGGGGAGAGGGACGGGCGACGCGACCGCCGCGGGGACTGGGCTGGGGACGGAGGGGGCCGGGGCCGGGCTGTGACGTCACCGCTGACACCGCGGCGGGCCTGGCGGAGGGTGGGGGACGGACACCCGACTCGGACGCGGCGTCCCCTCCCCCGGCGCGCCCCTGAGACCTCGCGGGGGAGGGACCCGGCGACGCCCCGTCCGGAAGCCCCGAGTGCACCTGAACTTGCCCGCGGACCCTTCGCCGGGCCCTCCCCCACCCTGGCCCCTTTCGAGTGAAATCGTAAAACCTCCACCTGCCCCCGCTCGGAGCCGGCGACAGACGCATCGTGGGGGGCGGGCGGGGCTGGGGAGGGAGGGCTCCTTGCGCCAGGGATGCCGGCTCTGGGTGTAACAGGTGCGCGGTGCAATCAAATCTTGCGTCGGGGCCGGGGCGCCAGGGAAGAGCAGCAGTGACCGAGGCCCTCCCCGCGGGATGATGCAACCAGCCCGTGGACCCGCCGCCTCGCCTCCGCCGCGGCTCGTGGGGACCCCCGCCCTCCTCTCGCCCCACCTCTCCAGGCCCCCATTGTCCTCACCCCAGCCTGTGCAGTTTAACTTCCTTGAACCCCCAAGTCACACGCCGCTCGCGGGCCACCCCGGCAAACCCCAGCCTGCGTCACCCGCCCCCAGCCGCGTTCCTAGTTCCAGGGGCTGACTGGTATCTCCGTGCGCGCCACCGCCCTCCCTCCACCGTCCCAGGGCTGGGCAACTTCGACAAAGCCTCTGGGCAGCTCGCCCACGGGGACCTCCCCGCATTGCGGTGCGGGGGTGCACGGACTTCGGGCCACCCTGAACCCCGGGGCTGGGTCCCCCCCAGCCCAGCCCCTGCCATCGAGCCACTGCCATGGGCATCCTGGCGTCGCCTGGCTAAGCCTCCCTGGCGCCCAGCGGGGGCCTGCGCTGCCCTAACGGCCTGGCCGTTAACCATTTAATCCACACTCCAGGGACAGCCGGCTTCACCTCAGTCCCCACAGCTGCGTGCCAGCACCTTGCAGGTGGCAGGGAGAGATTCGCATCCACTTCTGCAAGAAACGGGCCCCCCGCTCCCAGCCCCAGCCCCGCCGAAACCAGCTAGACAGCTCCTCCTCCTTCACTGTTTCCTGGAACCACCGGCATGAAAGAGAAATCAATTGTTCTTCCCAACATTGGCAGAAACAATAAAACCATCTGGGCTTCTGGGGCTGGGGTCTTTATCACCACCTTTTTCCTCATGGTTTTTAATCTGGCAAGCTCTCTATTTCTCGAGGCAATTGACATTTTTCTAGGAATTAATCTATTTCACGTTAATATTTAAGTGACTAGCATATCTTTTTTTCTTTATATTATGGCTTTTTACGGTTTGTTGTTGTTGTTGTTGTTGACAAGGTCTTGCTCTGTCTCCCAGGTTCGAGTGCAGTGGTGCCATCTTGGTTCACTGCAGCCTCAACCTCCCCAGCTCAAGCAATCCTCCCACCTCAGCCTCCCTAGTAGCTGGAACTACAGGTGTGTGCCACCACACCCACTAATTTTTGCAGTTTTTGTAGAGAGGATTTTGCCATGTTGCCCAGGCTGGTCTCAAACTCCTGAGGTGAAGTCATCCACCCGCCTCGGCATCCCAAAGTGCTGGGATTACCAGCGTGCACTTAGCCTGTCTTTTGTTTTTGACATTTTTCTCTTTTAATATTTTTAAATATTTTCAGAGCTCTAACTTTTAGTTCTGTTAAATGTCTTTCCCGTTATTTCATTTGCTCTGTCCTTCTGTATTATTTCTTTCCCTTGTGGTTCTTTGGATTCGATCTGTTCCTCTGTCTTGAACTAAATGCTTAGCTCCTTTTTAAGCCTTCTGATTTTCCAATAGATCTACTATATTAAAAGCTACAAAATTCCTTCTACAAGACTGCCTTGGCTGAGTCTCACAAATTTGGACATAAAATGTTTTCATTATCATTAAGATCTAATATTTTCTACTGTCCCTGATGATCTCCTTTTAAACCCAGGGTTATTTAATAACGTTATTTACTTTTCAATAGCGTTTCTTTAATTATAACCTTTTGTTACCAGGTTCTAATTTAATCGCATTATTGTCAGAGAACAAGTCTGTATTCAGTCAAGATCCTGGCAGGAAGCAGATGGCACACTCAAATTGGGTAATTTGAGAAGTGTTTGATAGAGAGACTATTGACAAAGGTGTGGGCAGGAGGTTGGAGAGCCCCAAGGGCTTGGTGGCACTGCAGCCTTACTGCTTGCAGGGAGGGGGGCAGGCAGAAGCAGAGGCTCAGGTGGAGGGGTGCAGCCAGCCAAAGTTTCCCAGGAAGGGAGCCAGGGCAGCAAACCCTGGACCTCACTCTCCCTCCTCCCCTGATCTGGTAGTGCTTTGGCTGAACCCAAGGGGAAGCTGGAGGTCAGGGGCACCCAAGGAGTATGGTCCATTTCAGGTGGTCTCCTGAGTAATGGGCAAAGGGAACTTAGAAGCACAAACAGAAGCTAGCAGCCCAGTCTGCATGGCCCTGTGCCTCTGGGATTCATTGAGCCTTCTTTAGGTCCTAACACATAGTCTATTTCACACGTGTTCTACATGTGTTCAAAATGGTTGTGTTCTCTGCTTGATGGGCAGAGAGTTCTGTATATTATGTAACAGTTCAAAATTATGAATTGTTGACTCAGTAAGGTAAGATCCCAGAAAGAAAAGTTTTTTAAGGTTCTTAATTGTATTGATCAGGATTTGGAGATTTCTGCTAATTTTTGTCAATGTGAACTATGATTATTATTTTTAAAAATCTCCAGTTAGAATTGTTAAAATATCTGCTTCTCCCAGCAGTTCTGGCACATGCTGCTTGCTGTGTATTGAGGCCATATTTTTAAATATTAGAATGATTTTGATAGACGTGCATTATCATTCTGTGGTTCCTTGCACCCATATACATGTGTGCCCTTCTTTGTCTGGTGTTCGCAGGTTTTTAAATTTTTTGCCTTAAATTTGAATATCATTAACATGTCAATCCAGTTTTCTTTGGTTCATATTTGCCTGCTATGTCTTTTGCCAAATTTTTTATTTTAAGCTTTTTGTATCTTTTTAAAGCATATCTCTTTTAGGCAACCCATTGCTGAAATTTAAAAATCATATCTGTTTCTGCCTTTTAATTGGAATTTAACCCACTTACATTTATAGCAATTACTGTTATATCAAGACTAAGCTTTGCCACCTGTTCCCTGACTGCTCCTCATCAAAGACAGAGTCTGAGATACCAGTGCTGGCCCCTCCGTCCCACTCAAGACCCTCCAAAGGGCAGCTTTATCAGGGACACCCATCAGCTTGATCGAAAGCTTCTGGGAAGGGGACTGCAGTCTGAGACTCTTCCTACCCAAGCCCCTTCTTTCCCGGTCTCTTTCGCAGGACTCAGACCTGCATCAGGATCTGAAGCTCTTCTGCCTGCACCTGCCCCCTCCCCTCCATCCTGCATGGGCTTACTCCCAGTCACCCCTTGCCCCTCCTCTAATGCCACAGAGACATGGACTGACATGGATTCCCAGGAAGCATGTTTTTCTCTCCAGCTGGCCATATTCCTTGGGCGTCAAGTGACTCTGGCCTGTGAGCACCCAATGGTGTCGGGACAGCAGCTGCTCTACTGGCAGCCTGCAGTGGGGAGACACAGAAACCAAGCCCATGCAGGGAAGACTGGGAGTGCAGGCTCCTTCCTGAAACCAATCACCACTCCTTGCTCCCCAGAGCCCACAGAGGAGGAGCTGCTTCCCTACCTTGTGCTGCATCATCTTGTGGCATCCGCAAGGAGGCTCTCCGGATAGCTCTTCATTGTCTCCAGCGCTGTCCCACCCAGGAGGACCTCACAGCTCCCTAACAGTCCCCGTGATGACTTCCCGTGGTCCAGGCCATCCCAAGACGGGCAGGAGACAGGACTAAACTGTGTCTCTCCTGCCGGTCCCCATTACCCTGGCTGAAGCCTCCACCCACTTCACAGACCTCATCTGTTTTTCCACTGGGAAAAGGCCCAGTGACAGAACATGCGGGGCCCCATGCGAAATGAAATAAAGGTGCCTTGTTCAAAAGCCCAGCAAAGTGCAGTTAAAGGTGCTAAACATACAAACCTCTTCCTCCGTTCCCCAGGCTCTCTTGATTGGCCATGGTGTTTTCTTGCTATTTAATGCCATTCTCAGTAAAGAAAAATTAAAATTTTAAATTGCTAGCATGAATTTTACTCTTCATCTTTCTATCGTAGAATGCCAGCTTTAAATGCAGATAGAAGAGCTTTCAACTCATACACTGAATCACTGAAATTACACAGCTCGTATTTCCTCGTTCATCTGTGTGTGTTTTCTGTTCTCACCAGAACAATGAAAGCCATGCACATGCACATTCCTCACTTGCCTGCTTCTATTTCACTTCTCGATGCTGGCACCAACACTCACTGCCTCCTGCTTACTGATAAGGAAGGAGGGATGAAAGGAGAACTCTGGGTCTTCCTGTCTTTCCCTTTCCTTCCATGCCACCATTCCAGTGAAAGTGCTCGGCTAATACAGGGAAGTAAAATGAGTAAGAAAAGATACAACGGGGTCCCACGTCCTTTGTGTTCCTTAGAATACCATTGCCCCCTTTCTGTATTTGGAACAAGTTCTGGTTCAAGTGGAAAGCATGGCCTTTCTGGGCTGCCTCACGCCACGCCCACTGGGCTGCAGGCATGACCTGCTCTACCCGGCACTGGAGTGAGTCTTGCTGAACCCCATGCCATGGCTCTGCGAACACGAGATCTGGATGGGGCTGCAGAAGCGCGCAGAGATCTGTGCGTCTCCCCTGCACCTGCCTCAATATGCCGTCGGCACCACAAAACACAAAAGATGAAATTATTAAGGATCTTTGGCCAGC